GAGGCAATAGAGCACAGGTTCGATTCCCAGCAAGGGTATGGCTAGCTGATGAGAGCTAAATAGCTTGAAATCGATATATTATATATGTGTATATATGTGTATATATATGTATATATATGTATATATGTATATATATATATAATTAAAATACATTTCTTTGTAATTCCCGCCTTTCCCAGAAAATAGCAAGATATAAATCCTCCGTTTGCTAATCAGGGATGTCTTGGCAGATGTGCAAATACAGCTGGATGGGAGCTTTGCAAGATTTTTACCCAAAGCCTCCGGCTTAAAAAAAAAAATGCTCTGTGTGTCACCGTTTTTTTTGAGACAGCCGGGAGGAAGTTGCAAGGGGGGGGTGGGGTGTAAGGAAGACGCCCTTCATCAGGGGCAGACTTGCAGGCAGAGGCAGGGGCAGAACAAAAGGACGCGTTTTCGAATCCTGCTGGGAGTCTGGAAAAACTTCAGAAGGAGGAGGAGGAGACCGAAACGGTGAAGGTAGGTTCTTCTACATTTTTTTTCCCCCTTTCCAAAGTTAGTTTCCCTTTTGAAAAGACTTGAGTGTTGTCCCCAAACCTGGTCTCTTTTGCTTGATGTCGAAGCCGACAAGTCACAGGACGCAAGATGTGATACAGAATTATATTCTTATTTCGGTACCAAGATATAAGGAGCTCACCAAGCTAATCAAAAGGGGCCAAGATTAGACTCTTACAGCGGGTTTTTATAGTCGAGGGATGGGTCGCCTTCAACCCTTCGCCCTTCCCCTTATATAAATGCAGGCATAACAGATAATATTGATTGGTTATTTGGATTTCAAAGCCCCCACTCACCCTAAAAAATAAACCCCTTGTGCTTTTATGTTAAATAGCTAAATGTCACCTCACCTGTTTTTCATCCCAGGACACTTTGCAAAGTGGGTTTTGGGGAGAGCGAGCTATTCTTCTTCCTAAGATCCTGGTTTTAAGGGGGTAATTTCGGTCTTGCTGTTAAGGTGCAGCCCCATTCCTATTGCGGAGCAGAATAAAAGAACAAAAAAGTTTTTATGGGAGTGACCCCACGGACCCCCCCTTTCTTTAAAGCAGTTTTAAAGTTTTTTCTGAGGCAGCAAACACCCCCCCCGCCCCAAAAAATCTCCCCCTTCAGTGAGAGAGACAGGAAAGGACAAAACTCTGAATTGCCACGGCAAAGAATTGAAGACAAGATAAAATGTTTTCTCGGCATCCACATTCCTCGCTCTCATGTCCATCCCATCCACACCTGGGTCCTATCTCCTCATCCCGAGGACCTCATCTTGGACATCCATCCCTCCATCATCCATGATCCTTCCATTGTGATGCTCCTTTGCAAACTCCCCCCAAAAAACAGAGGAAAATTTATCACACCACATTTCTGGATATATTTTTTTAAAAATTGGCAAGAGAGGAAGAGTGGCTTGCCTGCCTTATGCACCCTCCTTGGAAGGCACCGCAAGGGGCGTTTGTTTCACATCCTCTCCGCTGCCTTCTACAGAGCCTCCATCTTCAGGAGCACGCTACCTTCCAGATGCCCAATCTTGGAAGAGCTGGCGCAAAGGGGGCAAACTTCAGAAGCCTCGGAGTGGGGGGGAGGTTGCTGAGCAAGGAAGAGGCCAAAACACAGGACCTTTTTGGACCCTTTAGCAAATATATTCGCCCTGGCAGCCATCTTGCCAGCTTAATGTACATTTAAATCCGATGCCCCAGGGGGGTCCTGTTCGGTGGGCGAGAATTGCACGCCGTTTCAGGGAGTGGAAAGTCCGTCTTGAAGTGTCGGGGGGGGGAGGTGTGTAGTAGGCACACAAAAGTGGGTGTGTTTAGTTAAGGGCGCACCTAAGCTGCACTCAAGTGACTAATGCAGAAGGCAGACCTCTGAGTCACTTCCCGCAGACGTTTCTCTGGATTTTAACTCCTTTGTGGGAGAAACGCGGGGTCCATCGGTTGGAAAAGCCACAGGCCCCTCATCGCCATTCATCATCACCACGGAGGTTTGAGCACTTCAGGGTATCCAGACAAGATTCCAACCTGTGGCAGGGGGGGAAGTTTCCGCTCAGGAGCACGGCAGGAAGAATATCGAGAGATTTGGGCAATTTTTAATGGCCCGCGGGAGGGAATCTCCAGGCGAATTCGGCCAAGAGGTTTGGCATCATTTTCACGGCCGCTAAGAGGTGGGCGACGGGCTGGTGATGTAGCAGTCTGGGTGTGCCAACCTGTGACGAACGGGATTAGCCGCTGGTTGGCTTTCGGATCTGAAGCCCCACCTGGAGGGGTTGGGTTAGAATGCTTTGTGTTGGGAAGATACTCCTGCCAGGTGTTTGTTCATTTGCTTTCACTCAGCCATCACCAACTGGGGATCCGTGAGAAAATGTTGGGGGTATGCGGAAAAATTATTTGCATTTTTTAAATATTGCACTCAATCAGGGGTCCTCAAACTACGGCCCCTGGGACGGATACGTGCAATGAACGCTTGTGTTGCTGTAGAGTGTCTCCCCCTACGGGGTCTTTTAGGGGGGTTGGAGGGGGGAAGAAATTCCCACTTGGGGTCTGCTTCAGCCTCCTGGTGGGGGGCTTTGGGCGAAGGCTGGAGGGAAGNGCTTAGCAACGGAAATATTGGGCTCAATTGTGGTTGTAAATCGAGAACTGTCTGTACTCACGTTAGCCAATTCTTCATTTTTTCCTCCTCTTTTTTTAGATGGCTGGATTCGTCCCGCACTTTGCTACAGCAAGGAGTAAAAGAACAGGAGTGTTTATGGCTGCGTTTCAAGTATTACAGTTTTTTCGATCTGGAGCCAAAGGTGAATATCTTCAGGCCCATAATTTGTATTTTTTAAAATACTTTTTTTAAGGGAACTTCGAATGTATATTCCTCCACTTTCTGCTTTTATTGAAGGCCGAAGTGGGCCACTGTGGCTCCTTTACGACTCGTGGACTTCAGCTCCCAGAATTCCTGAGCCAGAATAGTCGTCAAGGGAACCATAGTTGCCCATCCCTCATCATCTAAGGCAGGGATCAGCATCCTGCAGCTCTGGAGCTGCATATGGCTCTGCTGCGGCTCCCTGTCGACGGTCAGCTCCACAATTGATAGGGCTTTTGGTTAGCACAGGAAAAAGGCGTGCTAGGAGGAGACTCTGTGGTGGGGAAACCAGACTGTCGGTCAGCTCCAGAATGTGTGTGTGTGTGTGTGTGTGTTGGTTAGGACCTTTGTGGCTCTTTTGAGTGTTTAACGTTACCGACCCCTGATCTAAGGAATAATTGTTGCTGCAGCAATCCAGAACCAATTAATCCCCACTCAAGTCAAGGATCCGATGACAACAAGGGGATGATTTTGCAAGCCAAGGTTTCTAGTCCTCAGGCCGGGAAGCATTAAAATACATTCATATGGATTTCAGCCTTGCCGATAGGAGGGAAAAGTCCTACCTGTGTGGCAATAGGGGTTTTGTGTGTGTGTGTGTGCAGCTTACTTTGAAAACAGCACTTTCAAAATTTCCTGCCCACTTCTAGATTATTTCCCACAGTCAAAGGAAGATGTCCTTTTGTCAACATTTCTCTCTCGGTTGCCAGGGAAGGAGTGTGAGGCACATCTCAAAGCGGGGGAAACAAATATATATATTTAGCACAAAGTACCCTTTCGAAAGGGAACAGAACGCACATGGTTTCAAAAGTTGGGTAATACGGACAACTCCCCCAGCTGCTTTACAGAACTGCGAATCTTTTTCATTTCCTGCCAGTGTGGGAAAGCGTGTTTCCCGTTATGGCCCGCAGATTCGGACAGTGAGGAGGGTTGGGGAGGAACCCGGGCCAGTCCTGGAGTCTGGGGGAGGCTCTGAGGAGAGCTCTGTGTCGGAGGCAGAGAGGGGGCCTGAGCCGTAGGCCAGTTATCAGCTGCCTTTGTAGTGAGACATCAGTGAGGCAGAAGAACAGCTGGAGCCTGTTCCCAGTGTGCACATGCGCAGAGTTGCCAGACACGAAGGGAACAGCTAGAGAACAGGACTGGACTTGGCAGTAAGGCCACAGGTGGATGGTGAATGGCCCCTTCCA